CCCGCCCAAATCGGGCTGCGTTGATCAAGCCCTTACAATATCCGCCATGACTCACTGCTAGGACAAAAACCAATACGTAGAAGCGGGGATCAAATTCTCGAGAGCATCTCAGCTCCAACAGCAGCACTAACAGTTGTCATCTTTGTTCGCAGGAGCGGCAGGGATCGCGACTGTGAGCGGATAGCGTGAAAAAGAACAGCGAAGCACTTCAGGGTTCGATGGGGAAGAGTCAGGAATAATCGCTAGACATCTTTCAGCAGAGCAGACTTAAGGAGGGCGATGAGTAAGTCCAGCTGTACATGACACACGCTTGCGCGCCAAGGCAGTCTGAAGTCGCGCGCCGAGGACTGGCCACCCGACGCTGCTACAGCTCTGCAAGGGGAGAGCAAGTATTGCAGGTGAGTTGCAGAAGACCGCGCAAGGACTCGCTGAGGACACCGAAGGCACGGAGACGAGCCAAACATTGTTTTCCCCCCTGCTATCGCTCTGTTAAACAAGAAGCCCACCTGGATCTCCGACAGGCTGATTTTTTGATCCAGACGCTACAGAAATCTCGACCCCTTCTGGAAGGGAGGGAGCTTTCATCCCCGATCAGTGTTTGAAGAGATGGCGCTCCTGGAGCCCAGCGGGGGCCCAAGACGAGCCCCGCCGAAACGGCCCCGACCTGGGCCTGGACTGGACGACGCGCCGACGGGTCCAGAACGGCGATTCTCGCGCTGAGGATGCCTTGGGTCAGTCGTGGGCCGCCTCAGGCCCACCTTGGCCTCCTTTCGGGCCCAAGTCAACGATGAAAAGAAACGGGCCTTATGCACGATGACATAGCGACCTCACGCGGTGGCTACCGGTGGCCGCCAGTGCGGCGCGCTACATTGGAAATGAAGGCGCTTACGCGCGACCTTGCGCGGGCAGCTGACGTGCAAATGTCCGCGCAATCGAACCCGTGTTTCTGCGTCGCTCAGCTGGGGCCCTCTTGGGCCGTCCTGTTTGGCTTGCCGCGGGGGGCGCCTCGGACTTACTAGGGCGTGCCTTTGGCCCGTAGGCGTCTTGTAGAAACATCAGATCTGGCAGTGGACGCATGCTACCATCGAAACGTCAATTCGAAAGCAGCCGTGACCATGACTGCACGACAATGTGGGGATCGTGCGTGCACGAAGCGCAAAACCCCGATCAGGACGTATCCTGGGAGACTGTCGAGCGCGCACGGTGAGCACACAATACATCGCAGCTCACGAAGACAGGGCGGCGAGAGGGACAGGTAATCAGAGTCAGGAGGACTGCCTGAATTTGAAACGCAAGGAGGCAAACAGAGATGCGCTGGCCCCCTTTGGGGGCGCGAGGCTGTGAATGCGTGCTGCTGGCCTGCTGGCTCTTTTCCTTCGTGCTGCTTTGAGCCCTTTTCTCTCCGGTCCCGACTCCCCTCCGCTGTCTACCAAAGGGGGCCGACGGTTTCCAAGAGGCCACCTGGGGAAAGGGGTGTCCCTCATCCTCCTGGCCGCTCTCAGCTGCCCCAGAAGAGACCTCCTGGACGGCCCCAAGAGGCCCCGAAAACAGCCTCAAGACAAGACGGCCGAAGATGATCCGAAGATGCCTCGAAGATGGCCGAGGAGGGTCCCAGACGCCCTTGCGAGGTCAAACAACATTGACCAGCCATCGTGTTTTCAATGTTTTTAAATGTCCAATGCTTTGTTTCCACGATGTCCAAAGAACGCGTGCAGACGAATCCCAAAGCCCCCGAGATCGCCTAAGACAGCCCCAAGTTTACCCCCAACGGCCCTAGGATGCCGCCCAACTCGCCCATCACGACCCATCAAAGCCACAAGACGACCCCAAGACGGACCCTGGAGGCCCCAATATTACCCCGGGACTGCCCGAGATTTTCCGAAGGTAACCCCATAGGCTTCAAGATGCCCCCGAGTGGCCCCAATGTGGCCCCAGACCTTTTCCAATCCAGTCACGCGATGGCTCAGCCTGGGGGTCCAGCGGCAGCGAGCGCAGCCCCTCAGACGTTGCACAGCGGTGGCGCGCCACCGAGAACAATATCCCGGTTCTGTAGCAGAAGTGGAGTCGGAGTTCACTTTCGCGTCCGTCCCCCTCCTTTCCATCCCACTATCCTCGGCTCCCTATTCATGGATTCCGGAGTCCAAGAAGTAGATACAGTGATAGGGTTACCATATGGAACGCCGAATAAGGGACGAGAGTGATCATTCTGGCCACGGCGAGCCTTGGCCACGAATAGGTTCCACGACCTAGACTGAAGGAACGGCCCGAAAAAAAACGATCCAAACCCAAAGTGACCCTCGCTTCGGCGTCCTGACTGCAGATCGCTGGGAGGTACAAAGGGGAACTCACAACGTCTCAGCCTGCCGGTGCAAATGCTATCAAAGTCACTTCTACTCCGTCGCCAGGCTGAGCGCGGGGTGATACTGCCAGCGGCGCGCTTCACTGGGCCGCCTCCCCCCCTGCCCGGGCCAGAGGGAAGCACCAGCAGCGCAGGCCACTGGATCGACACCTCCTTGGGGCCTGGCTTTTTGTGCCTTGGCATGCCTGCCCCCCGCCGCGCCCACCACTCCGCGCAGCGAGGGCCAGCTCGGCCCCTCTCTGGCAGAACCCCCAGACCTCAAAGGCCCCGAACTCTGCGACGCCCTCGGTGCTCCCCTTCATCCCCTCTCTGAGCATCGCCCGGCCTCCCCACTTGGGAGGGCGCCAGTCTTTCACGTGCACCGACATTGGCCGGGCCCACTTCCTGGGGCCTCCAGGAATCTCTGGCGAACGGCTGGGGGCTGCCCAGCTCGCCCAGTGACGCGCAGGAGGCCCTGCAGGTGTCTACGCGTTCCGGGCCAAGCCAGGAGGGCGTCTACACCGATCCTGGGCACAGGATGGGCCTGGCCAGGATTGGTGAGGTGGTAGGTTGACGCCCCCAGACCCCCGCCATGGTCTCAGCCTCGCCTCTCTGCGCGTCGCTCTGATACATGAAGAAACGCGGCATAAACATGAACATGTCGAGTTCCGTGCGGATGGGCGGCGCTGGAGGCGCCGCCTGGGCGGCCCAGCGCCGATCAAGGCACCTCCGAAAGCTTATGCTGCTTGTACTGAGTTGATTTCCTCTTCGACCTGCATCACCGCTGCCTCGGTGCCCCGGTCTCCAGCGGTCTCGGCGGGGGCGCCCAACAGATCAGAGCCCTTTGGCGCGCTCGGCGCGCCCGACCGGCCTGCGCTGCCTGTGCCCCCGAGGCGTGAGCGTCTCGAGGCCGCTGAAGGATGAGGAGGGGGAGGGGGAGGGAGGGAGGGAGGGAGGGGGATATGGGAGGGGGGGGGAGGGAGAGGAGAGGGAGAAGACGAGGAGGAAGGGGAAGCGGGAGGAGGAGGAGGAGGAGGAGGAGGAGGACGATGGAGGGGGAGGAGGGAGGATGGGGAAGGGAGAGGGGGGAAGGAGAGGGAGGAAGGTTGAAGGAGGGGGACGGGGGAGGAGGGCGAACGTGCAGAAAGGGGAGGAGGGGCCAGCGCTGCCAGCCGTCTCCTCCGCCGCCCTGCCGCCTCTCTGCTCTCGCTGCGCATTCGCGCCGGAGGCCTGCCTCGCTGATTTGCGCCGCGCCCACGCCCGCTCATCTCTCCACCTTGTTGACTTGACTCGTTGACTCATCTCGCCATCTCGCCTGCTCATCTCGCCTTCTCCATCCCCTTGCTTCGCGATCTCCTTGGCAGGGGGGCGCTGTTGGAGGGGCACACACCAGCAGAAGCACAAACTTTCGGAAGACCGCGCAGATTTCTCGGATCGGCGCTGGGCCCCCCTGGCGGTGCCTCTGGCGCCCAATTATGCGCTCGAGCGCGCCTCGGGTCTGTGAAACTATAGTCAACAAATGCTGTTCCTTAATACTTCAGGGGCAGGTGCACCTGGCACCCGGCACCACCAACGAGAGCTGGTGCACCCGGCACCCAGCACCACCAACTAGCTTGATCTGCACTGCTCGATCGTGCTTCAAAGAGCATCATCTCTGGATGGGCTTGTGGGGTTATGCGCAGCGTCTAGACTTGCACACGCTGGCACACATCAGTTGACGAATGTGATATTTTCGATGATGAGGTATTTTGGTATAACCGATTAGCACGCTTAGTACGGGAGCGCGTGCAGGCTGGACCTCATGTCGAGGATCGGGGCGCCCACTGGCATCCCAGCAAAACTGGTGGCAGCGGGTGGGTACGGTTTTCTGGGCGGGCCAACTCGATGTGATGATTTGCCGCATCGTCCCAAACCCACCTGCCCGATGACGATGGTCCCCAATCATGCGCTTGAGCGTGCCTCCGGGATGTGAAACTATACCGCCCAACATGCTAGAATTCCCGATACTTTAGGGCCAGTGAGCCTGGCAACTAGCACCACCAACGAGAGCTGGCGCACCCGGCACCAGGCACCACCAACACGGAGTTGGTGCATCCGGCAAACGGCACCACCAACAAACTTGATCTGCTGTGCTTGATCGTGCTTCACATCGCATTGTCTCTGGATGGGCTTGGTTACGCCAACGCGGCGCGCCACTTGTGCCAGAAATGGCAACAGGCCCGCGCGATGTGATGATTGGCCGCATCGTCCCAGACTCACCTGCCCGATGACGATGGTCCCGCCTCTGGTGCGCTCCGCGCGCAAAGGGGGGTCCAGCACCGTTCCAAGAAATCCGCGCGGACTTCCGAAAACTTGCGTGTATGTCGATGTTTCTTCGATTCCTAGCAGGCGGCAATGTTCGTGGCCCCGACATGCTTGCTCAAAATCCTCGAAACTTAACAAACGAAACGCAATGTTCCGTGATCTATCCTATGAGTGTTCTGCGCTGGCTCTGGCACTTCCACCGCTTCACCATCTCCGTCTCCTCCTGAGCTGCAGGTGCAGATGAAAAGCCAATGCTAATGCACTCACTCACTTCTGCACTCACTACAATGGAGATGGAGTTGATTGGTCCGACCAATATTGCATTGACGGACCAGCAGAAAACAATTATGATTACTTTTTGGTGTCATCGCAGGGCCGCTAGATCCGAGCAAGACCAGCTTCCTCGTTATGTCCTCGCGCGCTTGCATGGTGGCCCGCAGGTGAGACAAGCTACCACAGCCCCTGCTACAGTTGTTTTCGCCTGAGCTCTTCGTCCCCTCGCATAATGACGGCGACCGACCACGCCGAGCCGCCCACGGTCACCAGCAGCGTTAGTCCTTGTCTCGCCTGCGTTCTTGGCAGCAACAAGAACATGACAGCAACCAACAGCACAAACGCCGCGGCACTGACGATCCAGTTCCTTAGGGGAAGAAATGAATCACGAGCCTAAGCTTTCGGAACATACACGAGGATTTCTTCAATCCGCGCTGACCCCCTGGCGGCGCCTCTGGCGCCGACACTGGAGCGCTCCACGCGCCAGGGCGGGGGATCCAGAGGTCTAGCGCGGATCCAAGAAATTCGCGCGAACTTGCGATCAACTGTGAACAGTTTGCTTATTTTTTTTCTTCTGGGAGAGGCGGGCGGGGCAAGCCAAAGGGAAAGGACAAGGAGGAGTGGATAGGTATGTCTTCATACGCTGATGTGCTGATGCATTGGCGACTTGACGCGTCGATGTCTTGAAGCATTGACGAAGGTCTATGCTGGTTTCCTTTTTCCGATATTGAAAATCCTGTGCTCGGCGGCGGCTGCACTGGCCGATCGGATCAGGGAGGAAAGCCAGCTCTCTGGCGCCGCCACCTCTGAGGGGCAACGTTAGGCTTGGACCAGCTCAGGGGGGTGGGGGGGGAACTTCGAGGCAGAATCGGCGATACGTCGCCGATTGATCGGCGATAGGCCCTCGAGAGCGACACCGCAAGCTCCTGCGCGGGGCGGGCTGTCGAAGTGGGTGATTGGGGGTCGATGCGTCCCCCCCCCCTTCGCCCCTCTTTCGTAACTCCTTCGCCCCTCCTTCGCTTCTCCCTCGCCCTCTCACCTCCTCCTCCTCCTCCTCCCTGAGCCTGTCCCTCCCCCCAACGTTGCCCCTGACCTCTGGCGCCGGCACCTCCTCCGGGGCCGAGGCCCCAGCGGCGCCCGAATCCGCCCCGGCGACGGCCGCGGGCGCCTCGCCGCTGCCGCCCTGGAGGTCGCCCACCACGGCCTCCGCCAGCCTCCTGCTCGGCGGCGCGTCCCAGCGGCGAAGGCAGAGGGGGCGGGCCTTCTCAGAAGTCTCAGACCTTCTGAGAAGCTTTCTGAGCCTGTTCCGAAGCCTCAGAGGGCTTCTCAGGAGGCGCGAGGGGCTCGCAAGAGGCCCGGCCGCCCCCTGAGAAGGCCTGCCACCCCTCACCTTCGCCCCCCTTGGCACGCTGCCGCTCCTGCTCTTGGAGGAGTACTTCTGCCTCTTCCTCCGCAGCTCCAGCTCCACCTGCGCGCGGGCCGCGAGTCGAGCGAGCGAGCGGGCGCGCCCGCTGTCGGGCGGCGGCGCCTCCCGCGTGGGCCAAGACGGCTGGCGTGGCCACAATTTGTTTCTCTGCCCACCGTGCCGTCGTTGACGGTGTCCTCGCCCGTGGTGATTCGGGAGCGAGGACGTTCCTGTTCGCACGAGTCGGGTCCTTCCTGGGCCTCCGTTGGGGCCATGGCGCCTGGCCACCTTTTCTTCTGTCCACCGCTCCGTCTTTGGTGATGCACTCCCCTGGGCATCCGGGAGCGAGGACGTTCCTGTTCTCACGAGTCGGGTCCTCCCTGGGCCTCCACGGGGGCCTCTGAGGAGGCCCCTTCCTGGGCCTCCATGGGGGCGTCCTCTGCGGAGACCCTGTCGTGGGCCCCCATGCGGAGGCCCATGCGGAGGCCTCTGGGCACTTTTGGCACTCTCCGTGGCCTCCTGAGGCCCCTGCAGAAGCTTCCGAACGTCGGAGTCACGCTCGACGTCGGCGGCGTTCAAAAGGACGAGGGCATGAAGAGCACGGGAGCCTCAGGCCCCGTCTGGGGCACCCAGGCATGGCAGAAATCGGCGCGTTCCCCTTGACGCGGACCCCGACGCCCCGAAGATCGGCCGACGCTTTTGCCAGCGCCCACCTGCCTGTGGAGGCGCCGCCTCCTAGCGACCGGACAGCATTACATAACCTGCGTGTGGGCGCTTATGCACCCCATCTAGTTGCGAGCTGTCAACCCCCACTTGCGACCGAGTCGCACCTTCTCCATCCTTCCCCCTCCTCGGGCACTGCCAAGGGGGATCGCCACAAGGGGGTCGCCACCTCCTGCAGGACAAGTGCCCCCCCTGGTCCCCTCCAGAAGCCCCCCAGGACGCCCAAAGACGCCCAAGTACGTCCAACACTAGATCGACCCTTGATCTTGTGACCCCCCTGGGCACTGCCTGACCTTCTGCGCCTCTCGGAGCTTACAAACACAGTGCCCGCCCCGAGCCTCCCGCACCATGGTCCTGTCCCCCCTCGCGCCGGCCTCCCGGGGCCACGCACGCGAGGTGGCCTCCCAGACCTGGACCCGATGATGCTAAAGCTGAGCGGCCCCGCTGAGGAGCACCATGTGGACTGGGGCGGCCAGGACTTCTGAACTGACGGACCTCGGCGTGCCACACCCTTCGGCTCGGCAGTCCTGGCCTCCCTGGCCATCATAGTGACTCTCAGGGGTCATATCTCTGAAACGATGCCCCCGATCAACGTGGCCGCCGCGGCCGCCTCGCGGCGGCACCCGTCGCGTTGACGGTCCGAAGGTGGAGATGAAGGATATACCGTATGGTCAGACCTCGCCCTGCCTGCCCCCGTCCTTGAGGAACATGAAGCCACACACTCAATCACAACCTTCCAGAGTTCTGCGCAGACTTCTTGGATCGGCACTGGATCCCCCGAAGCACGCCAGGGGCGGCGCCGGAGGTGCCGCCAAGGGGTTCACAAGGCCGTCCACGGTGACAGCACAACCGAAACCGACCGAAACCGACCGAAGGGAGCGGCCGAGAAGGACGCAATGCCGCAAAGACGCGGCGACGATGCAACAACCGACCGACCCGAAACGACCGAATGCGACCGACTGCGACGCAGCCGAACCGACTGAACTGTTGGCACTCTTGACTCAGCGCCGACCCCAGGGGAATCCGCGCGGACCTCCGAATATTTGTGCTCGTGCCACTTCCTCTTGCTCTTCGCCGTCCCCAGGTGACAGCAGGGTGGAGCGCACCAAGATGAAATCCTCCGCCCGCCGCACGCCTTGGGTCTTTGTGGGCTCACGCCCTCTCGAATCCCCGAACCACCTCGCGTCGTGAAAAAATCGCGGTGGGAGTTTTGTTGGCCACCTCCGACCTTCGGGGCCATTTAATGGCCCTGGAGCCTTCAAAGAACGCCTCAACACAAAAAGCCGGTCCCGGGGAAGTGGTCAAAACTTTTTGGGGTCCACTTCCCTGGGAATTTGCTTCATCCCAGATCCTGTTGACTGCTCCAGTGCCCCAACAGATGTCGAAACCTTTGCATGCGTATGAAAAGCCTCCGCCATCATTTTCCCCAAGTCGTCGGATGTCTTGGTCCAGGAGTGGCACATCGACTCATGGACCAGTCCTGGGGTGCGCCCTGGCCAGAATGTGGAGGCGGATCCATCCGTGGCGACGAGGAGCTTCCTGGAGGCCCAAGATGGCCGCAAAATGTCTGCAGTCCTCGACCCTCGATCCCCCTCCAACCTGGCCGCCCTAATTTTTCAAGCCTCTCATCGGGTATACCGAAGAGGGGGGGCAGGAAGAGCGAGACTAGCGAATATGGCCCAAGACATGCGCGCGGACGAACAGGGGCCAGGGACGTGATGAAGAAGCGGATGGCGGCATGAACGCTGGGAGATATCGCGGCCCCGCCCATGACATCCACACCGCGCTAGTCCTCAACCCCCCCTTGTGGAGGCCTCATATGTGGGGTCCGAGTAGATGGTGTCGGAGGATCGCGCCGCATCGCCGATGCATCGGCGATGTCGGCGCGGAGAAAATCAGGCTCCACGTCGAGCTGCATCGCCCATGCATCGGCGATGCACCGCGATCCTCCGACCCTCTCTGCTCTGACCCCATCTAGGAGGCCTAGAATCATAGCCCTGGCCATGATATCCACATCCCACTCGTCGCCAACCCCTTTTGATTGGAGAACGTTCGGGGGAGTGGGACCGTGCGACCCGCTGCTTGTATGATTACAACGTGGCCTCTTCGAGAGATTTCGTTGTGATTGGCACGCCGTGGTTCATCAGTTTATTAATCGTACTTGTCTTCATCAGTTCATTCTTCATCAGTGAATTTCATCACCTGATTCTTCAGGACCTTCTGCATATCCTTCTCATCGTTTTCCTAGCCGCTCCTAGCCTTTCTGCATTCCTCATCGTTTCGCAACCTCGTCTTATTCCTCCCTCCTCCTGTTCCTCCCGCACTTCCTGGCTCTCCTCGGCACCGTCTCCATTGTCTCCTGGGTTCTCCTCGCCTCCGTGGGGCCGCGGAAACCTACAAAGAAAACAAACATCATAGCAAACAAGAAGAAGCTGGTGTATCCACATGGAAAAATGAGAAACAGCTGAGACAACGTGTGGCTGTCGCTATTCTCGTTGGTTGCGGATCCCCCATCCCTATTTTTTGCTGAGATCGCCGAACCATAACCATTTTGTGCAGGCTGCTACAGAGGTGTTCAAGTTGAGGCGACCACTGCAGATGCCCCATGCTTCAACCTTTTTGGAAGGTCGCCACACAAGGCACCATACGAAAATGTCAGTCACGCGGTTTCGTAGCTTTTCCCTCTTTTTCCATGTGCAAGCAAAAGGATTACAACGGTGGGAGTCTGCACTACAAACATTGCAACAGTCACAAGTTTTCGTGTTTTTTTACAATCCATGTGAACGCAGAAACTTTTTCCACATGTTCACGGTTTTTGTTTTTTTCCTGGTACGCTTCGGCGGCCCCACGGCGACCTCAGTGGCGACTTCGTGGGGCCGCGGAAGCGTACCAGGAAAACTAAAAACACATGAAAAATATAAACCAGTCTACGTCTTCACATGGGAAGAAAGGAAACACTGTGACTGTCGGGTGCTATTCTTATTGATTGACGACCCTCCACAATTAAATTCGTCTGTAAGATCGCCACAAGAGGAATCGTCTTGTGAAAGCTGCAACGCAAAGATTTCAAGTGGCTGCAGGAGCTCCGCAACTAGAACCGCTCCGGAAGGTCACCACAAAAATGATCCTTTTTGTAAGGGCTATTACAAAGAATCTCAAGGTTTGGGATCTGCACTGTAAGAACCACGACAGTCACGGGGTGTCCTAGATTTTCAAACTGTTCCATGTGAAAACACCAGCTTTCTCAGTTTGTTGATGTTCTCATGTTTTTCTGGTAGGCTTCTGCGGCCCCACTGCGCTGCCTCTGGAAATTCCTTACAATCAAACCCAACGTGCAAATTAAATACACATGGATTTCATGTGTTGTAGCTTACGCATTGAACTTGGTTGTGGTACGTCTCAAACTGTTTCGTAAGTGTGGAGGATACGATTGGCGGCGCCGTGGGAGTCGTACAACTGGGGTTATTGTGCACATCTGCCTTTACATGTGTCAGGGCGCACGTGGTATTTATTTAGCTCTGCATATGACGTGAACGTCTTCCACAAACAGCACAAGTAAGTTTAGCAACAAAAAGCAACCGCAATAAAAACAGCCAGTTGTAATCGCACAAACGGCCGGTCCTGCGGAGGGTGGACTGGCTCAGGGAGGAAACATCGAGCTTGAATCGGCGGTACATCGCCGATAGAGCGGCGACAGGCCCCCGATCGCGAATCCGCGCGTTCCAGGGCGGGGCAGGCTATCAGACCCCTATCAGCGGTCCATGGGCGGCTCGGGCTCGATGCGCTCCTCCCTGAGCCTATCCCCCCCCCCGAGCGTTGCCTCAGAACCCCTCCTGGGCGCCCCCGAAAACGAAGGGGAGCCGCCCGCCTGCCGCACGCCGGCGTTCTCGGGGTCGGCCTGCAGGGCCTGCCGCAGGGCCGCCTCGCACTCCTCCGGGGAGCGGGGAGGGCGCGCCGAGAGCCAGAGGCGCTGCGCCCGATCCCCGCCAGGCCCGTCCCGGGCCAAGAACCTCGGGTGTTCGGTGTTACGGTGGGGCAGTAGACGTGGGGCGAAGAAGCGTGGCTTTCACTGCCTCCCAATTTAACTCCGATCCCCGACCCTCTCACGCTTATTGCCCCTCTCCGTTGCCGTCCGCCCGAGGGTCGGCGCGTACGCCTTCCCGACCTGGCCAGGAAGGCATGCGGTCAAAGCTTTGCCGCAAAAGCAGCCCTGGAGAGGGAGCGGAACCCTTTCGGGACCCTGGCTGCGTCCAAATGGTGCCCCAAGGAGCGCCGGGGGGCGACCCACGGAAGGGTCCGAGGGACACCGGGCCCCCTTCGAAACCGGAGCGGGCCTTACCCCCAAGATTCGGCTGTAAACGCCACTCCTGGGCCCAATATCGGCCTGGCGCAGGCCCCTCTCGTCGTCGCCGCCGCCGCCGTCGCCGTCGTCGGCGCCGTGGTCGCGGTCGTGATTGACGTCGCTGGCGTCGGCGCGGTCCTGACCATGACCATCGTCGAATGGGAGGTATAACAATGTTAGAATAAACCCTCCCTCCAAGCTTCCTCTTCATAGGCCCCTAGAATGGGTCATGTACGCTGAAGGAACTGCCCCGTTGGGAGACAACCGTTGAAGATCCTGAAGCGTGCCAATGCACTGTTATCGGAAGTTCGACGCCACGAATCAACTTGATTGTCGCGTCTTGACGATTCCGAGTCGTACCAAAACGCCATTCCTGGGACGCCAACGCCGCAAATCATCGTGACTGTTGAACCCTGACAATCCAGAGCCGTTCCAAAACACCATTTCTCATCCGTTCACCATGGGAACCCGTGAAACTGTGATAATTTCGTAAGACACATGTGCGCAACGCTAAAGCGAGAGCCACATTTTGAAAACGACCCGCCCTCAATCCGCGACCCACTGCATTTTTTAAAAGAATGCGCGCGGCGCTAAGGCGAGAGCCACTTTTGGAAAACGACGTGAAACTCATGCACATGTTTAAAACGAATGTGCGCGGCGCTAAGGCGAGAGCCACGTTTTTAAAACCGCTCGCTCTCCATTCGTAAAACTGTTGCCAATTTTGAGGCTTCAGAATAATAAATGGTGAAGAAGTTTCAAACGAACCGCTGGGCCCGCCCTTCGGACTGGCATCGGAGCGGAAAAGGAATGGAGGAGGAGCAGGAGGAGGAAGCCGCGTGCGCCCGAACCCGCCCCTCCCGAGGGACAGGCCCTCAGGTTTCCAGGCCCTGCGGCGGCGGCACTGCGTGGCCATTTCAGGCCCGCGATCGATGCCTACAACGACCACCTGAACTTTTGTTCTCGTCCCAAGCGTGGGGCCACGCCTTCACTTACGGCACGATCAAGATCGAGACCACCACCCTGGCACAAATGACTTCGACGGCAACGTGCTGACGACTGCGTTCTACTACGGCTTCACAAAACACGATAACTACTTCACGCACACCATAGTGCGCAACAGCCACCGCGACATCCATCACAAGATTCCACGATGGTGCCGAAGTGCCAGCCCAAGTGGCAACAATGCCCACAACGATCACATCGGTCACCGAAGCCAGCAGCACGACCCAAACCAGCAATCGGCACAGGTCTGGCCAGGTGAAATGAAGACAACCCCGTCTGGAACTGGAAGAACGACCAGAGATAAGAGCACCCAGAAGGACAAGAGCCATACCACCAAACACGAGAAAGAGGATGACCGCCGGGAAGACAACGAGAAGACGACCATACAGCGCAACGCCATCATCGACATCATTATCTCGAACGCCTTACCCATGAGGAAGAAGGACGCGACCAACCACCCCCAATGGGAGGAGCCGCCAAGATCCTCATTGGTATGCACTGCGTGGGGGGAACAACAACCTCCAGATGCTCAAATCCTACGCTCTGGTCGCATTTAGGAACATACACGCCGAACTCCCCATTGAGGACTCCCTCAACATGATTGCGCTCATCAGAGCCATGATCCAGATCCCAAGGACCTTGATGAACACAAGAAGACAATCAAGGCCGCCGGGAGCAACGCGCAAGAGTACCTCACACAACTCAACGAGTACATCGCCGAGAACAAGCGCAAGCTCGACGGGTACACACAGACAGATGACTACACAACTGGGAAGACGAAGCGTCAGGAGCGGACGACGAGCACGAGGACCACAAACCGCGAAGCAGAAGCAGGCACAGGAGCGCCACACCACATCCAGGTCGACGACATGTGGACACGTTGGTGCACCATCGCAAGGATCTGCAAGCCACACCGCCACAGACTGCTACGAGATCCTCAACAAGACGCTCCAAAGGGAAGAACAAGCGACGGCACACTACAAGGATGAGGCAAAGGCCTACAAACACCAAAGAGACAGCATCCAGGGCAAGTACGAGAGCGACATAGCCAACAAAGAGAACAACAACAAATACCGCAAGGAGATAGACGCCCTCAACGCAGATCTGCAACACCTACCAAAGGCCGTCACGGACCTCAAGACCAACAAGAACAATAATATCCACACGGCCAAAGAGGACCACAAGAGGAAAGAACAACATCTCAACCAACTGATCGAGGACCACATCAAGAAGTACGACAGCAGCGCCAGGATCTAAGCAGAGTCGAGCAGGAGGGAGGAGACGCTCAGGACCGAGCTCGAAAGAACAAACAAGCAAATGTCCACCAGAGAGCAGAACGGCAAGTACATCACCGACCAGCTCAAAGAGGCATTGAGCAGAGGAGCTACATTGCGGAACACTACGCCACCGTCGATGAGACCAAGAGTCAGAAGAACGAGGACACCATCATCAACCTCCGACTGGAGCTGCAGAAATACGAGTTAAGATGTGTCAAGCAATTCCACGACAACAACCTGCGGAAATAAAGACCAGAGAAGAACACAATAATGAACTCGACTACCTCAAGCAATATCTACATACAGAAGCACCTGCAGCGTCACAAGCAGCAATAAGCACAGCAGCAATAATCTCATCCAGAACCGAAGACTTTGAGGAGAGCCATATCACCAGACTCTAGTAAGACGAAGCAATGACTCATCACCATTGAGACGAGGCCAATGTGCAAGGCCAATACACATGAGCACATCGAGATACAGAAGCATAAGCAGGCAGTTTCAGAAGCTCGCGACGATGCGCAACAACTACTACATGGACACGGAGCCTACGAGGAGCACGCATACGAGATGACCGCGAAGAAAAACAACGACATTATGCGCCTACACAAAGTGGCAGAGTACCAAGTACTCCACGACCAGCAGGCACTTGCGGTAAACAAGATGGAGATCCACCCAGCGAGAGGACATTGCCAAGGATGGAGATAATGGATCACCCGCAAGGAGGAGGACAGATAGAGGGAAACCAACAGAGCCAACAGCATCCACAACTAGTACCAGGAGGCAATGCAGAGGGAGCAGGAGCTCAAGAAGGCACTGCAAGAAACCGACATGCTCTACCACGTGTGCGCCAACCTGAAAAAGGACGACCCCACGACTCCCCCAAAAACAAAGGAAACCGACCAAGACGGCACAGCAACGCCGACACCACCAGACGACATCGTAGACACCCTCGACGACACACCGGCGCCAAAGTACCAGCCAGGCGACGCGACGCGTTCATACTGACGCCCATCCCGTACCCGAGGCATCTGAGCACCGATAGACGAATGGGACAAACGGATCCATACGGGTGGAGCAGCCGACCCCCAGGGAAAGGTCGAGATTACCTTCGAGAGCCTGCTCAATAGATGCACCAACGGACTTGGGGAGTCCATCGCCGAAGTACAAGAACCCACGCAAGGCATGGCACTTCAGGATCTCAACACCAGAACACGAACAAAAGGGCAAGAGGATCCCCGTCGGAGACCTCACCCAACGACTTCGTTATGGGGAGCGGGGCCCCCGATTCAGTCAGCACCAGACGAGCCAATGACACCAGAACAAGCACGGGGATGCCACTACATGGACACATCTGGGAGATCGCAGTCACAGAGCCCCCGACCCCGCAAAGGAAGAAAAGCGACAACGACAAGACCTAGGGCGAGCAGCACGACATCCGACCACAGTAGGAGGAGGCTATGCTTCGCTCTACTGGCAGATGAAGACCGCTCAAGCATACCAACACTGGCGGGAGAGGACGACATGATGGACGACTCCACTCTTGGGGGGAGGTAAAAAACTGAGCACGAAGTGGGGTGAAAACTTAGAGGCTGCGCCCACCCCTGACCTAGACAAGACAGCCCAGTCTCACCCGCCCTTCCATGCAACCACTAGCACAAATAATGAACCAAGAATTCGAGGACCGAGCCCAGCACTTGCAGCTTTCAGAATGCATGTGCCGAACAGAGGGTGCTTCTTACCTACAAGGGGCGTGGACGACGACAGATGCGCAGTGAACACACCTGGCAAGTCCGTACATGTACCCGAGGTGTCAGGCCACACAGCCGATGGTACAACAGGAAGTACCCGGACTGGACATAGCAACTTTAGACCCAGCGACACACTAGGTGGCATCACGGGAAAAGGCGAGTCCAGCCCGACCAACACCACAAAAGAAACCAATCAGAGGGAACGTGACGCTCCGTGCGAGGCCGTAACCACCAATTGGTACCTATGGACTCGCTGGGAGTGAGCGAGGGACTACCAGGAACCCCACATGGGGACGACGGGCACCAACCTACAGTCAAGGTGCCCTTCACGCTTCACGCCTAGCGAGCCTCTCGTCTTTTTCTACGACGCGCATCCCCACCCATCCTCTCCACCCAGTTCAGCGACATCGACGAACGGGAGCGCCTTAATCCAGTTGCACAGATGACTCCAAGCATATGCCGACAGAGAGAGAGAGATAGAGAGAGAGAGATAGAGACACACACACACACACACACACACATACGACATCAAGCGATGGCATCTCTACACGGACGGCACGCACCAGAAAGACTCGACCAAGGACGCATGTGCCGCCGTCATCGTCGCAGAAGACAGGGACGGATTCGCATACCATGGCGCAGTGGCCGCGAAGACGGACGACTCCAACAGCAACGGCGACAACGGAACTTAGACTCTGAGTCTACTACATCAGAAATGGCTACCCTCATCCGCCATCATCACGGACAGCAAGCACCGACCTAGCATCGCGATCCACACCGACTCGAAGGTGGCAATTGGGCTAGCAGGAGGAATATACATACCCAGCAACCAGAATAGCTTGACTGTCCTTACGCGGATCCTACACGATCTGGCTAAGATCGCCACAGACCTGCATATGGACCACGTCTACGCACACTAATGACATCCATGGGGCGACCTAGCAGACTCACTAGCCAAGAGACAAGCCAAAAGAGACGACCCAAGGCATTCCGCTTCAACAGGGCAAGACAATGGGAGTGGCCTGAACAGGCAAAAGAAGGAATGAAAGCAGCATGCCCCATGACGACCCAGAGCGGTCACATGGCAACACCTCCCACAACACATGCAGAACTAACAACACTTTGCGCCGGAGACGAAGGTCAAAGATACCAAGATCCCCATCAAGATCAAGGCCATGACCTTCAACGTCAGGAGTTTCGAGAAGCCCGAGCGCACCACCAGACATCGGAGGAGGAAAATGACCAGGATCATAGCACTAGTAACAATACAATGAAAACGAATGGGCATACACTTCGCTGGCATGCAGGAGACAAGACTATCGAGAACATCGCACCCTGCAAACGGACTTTGGACCACATCCAACGGACATGACAATCACAACCTGGGATGCCTTCTTCTCATCACGACCGACTTGCCATACTACGCGGAGGCGCAAGAAGCACTACATCCGACCGCAGCACTGCAAAGTACTTCGGTAATCACCAAGGCTGCTGCTCATCACCAGGATCTCAGCGCCAGGACTCCAAATTCGCTGGCAAAACGGGCCAGAGGCGTGCTAAGATCTCCCGTAACTGGATCCGTATATTCTAGTTCGCGCGCGCGAGGCGGCCTCTGGGGGTCCCCAGACGAGAAATCCCCTGGCCGACTCCCGGCAAGTTCGGCTCAAGGATGCCGGAACTCCCAGAGGCGGTTTTCGGAGCCCTCCAGATCGCCAAGGAGCGGTCCATGGAACCTCAAGGCAGCTCCAAAAGGGCCCACGAATCGGAATCACGGCTTAAGAGCGCTCCAAGACGCTCAAGATGGCCTCAGGACGGCCCAAGAGGCCTCAAAGAAGCCCCAAGAGCGCTTCTCAAGAGGACCCCAAAGAGGGCCAAAAGAAGCAACAAACATTGATTTTCCTTGTGTTTTCTCCTACGTTTTTCGCGTTCTTGCGTTCTCGGGCTTCCGACGCTCCAAGATGGCCCTAGAGGCCCCCAAGACCGGCCCGAGAGGCCGCCAAGAGTGTCGCAAGACGGTCCAAGAGGGCCTCATGACGGCCCCAGAGGCGCCCAGGATCGCCCAAGAGGGCTCCAAGACGGCCCCAAGAGGGGCCCAAGAGGGGAAAGACGAGCCACGAATTCGAGCCTTCCGCCCCAAGAGGTCCCCAGGAGGCCATAAGAGGCCCCCGAGAGAGCCCAGGAGGCCCCCTGGAGGCCCCAAGAGGCCCCGAAAAGGCCTCCAAAGAGGCCCCAAGAGTCCCCCCAAACGGCCCCCAAGAGGCCCCGAGAGGCCACGAACGCGCATGCAAACGCGTGCGATACCACAATGCGGGCCGGCGGAATGAGCGACGCGATTAAATACTTGTAGCAATTGCACCGCCGTTTTCAACACTTTCGGGTGCCCTTTTGGGCCGTCTTCCGAGCCTGTTCTGGCCATCTAGTGGCCTTCTTGGACCCTTCTCCGCGTCTTTTTCGACCCTCTGGGGCCGTCTTGACCCCGTCGCCCAAACTCCGAGCCAAGCTGAAACAGGGGCCGTCCCCCCTCTCGCCCCTTCGTGCGCAAGATCAGCGGGGTTTCCGGAGACCCTCTGAGGCCGTCTTCGATCCCCGCCCCTCCCGCACTCTGGTATCTTTTTCAACTACCCTCCTTCTTCTCCACCACGCCTCCCAAACTCCCCACGTTCCCAAAAGCGATGGCCGCCGGCCTGTGGCAGCAGCACCATTACCACCATTACCACCACTACCACCACCACCACCACCACCACCACCACCACCACCACCACCACCCACCACCACGACCACCACCACCACCACCACCACCACCACCACCACCACCACCACCCACCACCACCACCACCACCACCACCACCACCACCCGCGCCCCTAGTGGCACAAGCAGCTGCCCAAACAGCTGTCCAGCCCAGAGTTTCTAGCTCTCCGCCCATTCCTGCGATCCTCCCCCCGCCCTGTGCGCCTCCACGGATTCGGCGTCAGCATCACAATGCTTGGTTCCATCTCTTGTCTGGCCAGAGCGGAGACTCCTGCAAGCACGCACACGCGCATTCGATACCCCGCGCAAGGCGCAAGCACTCTCCATGCGCATCCTCAGCGGCTGCGTGCCGCTAACGCAACCCCTGCCTCCGACATGTAAGCCGTGTCGCCTACAAGCCACAATGACTAAACATCCACGACTAAGACCCACCTGCAACGAAGGCACTGAGACGTGCAGTTCCATGGCGTCCAAGC